ATGGAAAAGGTGAATTGTTTCACTGAATGGACACTAGCAACTGCTTAACTACCTACAGTAACTTTCTACAGCCCATTACTTAACTTTTAAATACCCCCATTAAAACTCAGGCAATGGCACAGAAAATATTAAGCAAACTAGATTAAATTTTTCAGAAAATAAAATCAAAACTCATACGTTGATCAGTACAGTACCTTGTAGATTTTCCATTACAATGACACCCACAATCGGACTAGTTTATAGAGGAAGGAAGCACAACCTGTTTCTATGCAAATGCTGTTATAACAATGATACTCACCTTTGTCAGCTAACAACTTCTTATCAAACAGCACCATTAGATGAATGTATCAGTTGATTTGTTGCTCATATTTTCCATTTGTATTTGTTGAACAACTGTACATTTTTTGACATAATTCCTGTCATTTCATTAACCAGCTTATTTTCAGAGATTAGTGGAAGCGCTGACATCACTAGAATGGAGTCCAGTAGAGCAAGCTATGCAAACAGACAGGGCACAATCTGCTGTGTCTGGTAACTTTCCACAGTTTAGATTAAGGTAGCGCATACTCTAAACACAGCCAATGAGGATTCAACCTGACTCTGCTAGCCTGCTTTAGTGGAAAGACACTTGATGTTAACCACCTATACTTTAATCACCAGGCAGGACAAATGATACCAGTCAGCTAAACGGTTAGAATAGAGTGCATCATGGTATCAAATGGTGGTGAATAACAGCAGAGTGGGCTAACTTTGGTGGCTTGTCACACTACCAAACTGCACCCTGACAAAAGGAGGAGGACATTGTAGAAGCCACTTGAAATGTTATACTTTTCTGTTCAGCAGCAGCTTAGTTCTGTTTGTGTTAGTTTGTGTTGTCTGGCTCCCCCCGCTGGCAGCCCTGCCAACTGTGTATGTGTATATGTGCGTGTGAAAGACGTGATATGTTAAATGATGTTTTTAGTTTCCTCCTCCTCTACCACCCCCTTATCTCAATCTAAAATCCCTTCCCTCACCACCTTCCTGTTCCACGTCGCTCCATTTCTTTCACATCTCCTCCTTCTGTAATTCATTCTCTTCCTCCTCCATCTTTTACACTTCCTCTGTCTCATTCTCCTCCTCTGCCTCTTCTCCTTCCTCCTCTGCCTCCGTCTCCTCCCCTCGTGCTGCAGCTCTGCATCAACCTGTTTCTAAAAGTGTAGTAAGGGGGATAAAAGCTGGAATTCATTATGTTGCGGACGTCCATTGGAATGCTGATGTGCACTACTGTACGCACCCGCTGACCCCTCCGAGTCGGTCCACAGTTCACTGGTCAGTCAGGGAGTTGTATTTAGGAGGCGGCACGCTAGCAGCTTCAGTCTGAGCCAAACTTCAGGCAGAGATTCTCTCCTTCTCCTCCAGCTCTCTACGGGACTGAGGCCGTACATTATCACATTGCAAAATTGCACCTTTAGAGCTCCCATCACCCCATTGCAAGAGGTCAGAGGGCGAGATAGAGTCGGGGGGTTGGCGGGGGCTCGGAGCAGAGAAAGAACATTCTGTGCCAGTGAAATGCAGCACTGGTTTCCTCCTGCTGAGCACAAACAGCCTGCTGAATGGCTGGTGGGACCACACAGTCTGAAGGTTCTGATTGGCTTTCGTGTCAGTCAGGAGGCAGGCTAGAAGGTCATCTCATGGTCACTGCCTGATAGGGGAAGGACAGCAGATTTCGACGTCACTCAGGAGAAAATGACAAATGGAAATATGAAGTACTGATCAGAGCACTTCAAACGCCGAGCAGCCCACAGACTGATTCCGTGTTTGATTTTAGGTTTGCGGCTGACATTACAATTAGGAATTTCCCAAGCAGGTGTGCTGGATTGGTTTCACCTGTGAAGAGATTTGTGTTTGTTTCGCATCAATATTATACATGAAGTTAGACAGATTGTGGAGAATATGCAAACTCTGTAGCTTATGGGTAAATATGTGTTGTGAGACCAAACAACAAATACCTGGTAATAGGGCAGAGTGACACGGCCAACAATATTTATCACGATATAAATTTGAAAATTTGTGATACCGATATAACTGACGATATAATTGACGCTAGACAAAATACTTCAAAACTCTACAACCTTATTGGTGCAAATAAAAAATAATAATTTCTTTTCCATTCAGCAAGCATCTGTTTTTGATGTGCGTTAAAGCTACATTGTACCAAAATCAATAGTGCATAAGTTGTAAATTGCTTGCTGACAATTTGTTTAATCAAAAGGCATTTCAAATGGAAATAGGCTTTCAAACCCTGAGCATAACAATGCATAGTGTCATCCCTTAAGATTACACTGGTATTACCGTGCAAACATATGACCCAGCCCTACCTGGTAACTTTTAGGAACTTGTCGATTTGCTGTGTTTCTCTTTTTTTTTTTACAAAAAAACCCAAACTGTCCTGGTTCCAGTTTTTTTCCACAGTCACTTGTACAGAATAGATTTGGGTTTTGGACAGTTGGATTGAAAAAACAAGCATTTAAAATTTGACTTAAATGTAAACAAGTAATCTAAATGGCTTGACTTTATCTGACATTTCATGAACCAAATGATTAATCAAGTAAAATCAGCAATCCAGCCCCTCGTGACCCTCTACAGGTGTAGCAAGTGGGTAGAACTAATAAACTGAGCTGCTTTAAGTAACTCAGGATGTTTTAGTAATGACATCAATGTGGCATTGATCCTCTGGCTGCAAACAAAATGTTACTAATACATGTTCATGTGAGAAATCTTGTGTTGAAGGAAAAAAAAAATGACACCACATACTTTTTGGCGGCCATTTTTTCTGAAACACACACTTCCCAATTTTTATTCTTGGAGCCCCAAGGCAGAGAGGTAAAAAGTCAAGCCGATGGTTGGAACCTTTCTGTTGTTTGTCACTCTCCAGGTGTAACAGACTCTCTATTTCAAATTGACATCTGTTTTAAGAGGCTTTTCTATAAAACCTTACAGTCAGCATCCAGCTCTTTCAGCATCAGTTTAAACACAGCAATAACAAACCTTTAGGGATAAATCCCTGAAATATAAATAAGGGGTGCAGCAGTACGCATCTCCTCAGGTCTGTTGTCTTTAGTTTGTTTGACAGAGGCGGCAGAGGCAGCATGTTGAAACGTGTTTTAGTGTGTTATCACTCAGCATCCTATAAACAACACATCATTTCCTATAACTTCACTTTGTTTGGTTTCTGTTTAAACACAGCCTCTGGATAACCTAAGTGGATGACATAATCAGAATTACAGTTTCATAGTTAATCTCGTTGTTTCTGATTCAGATATCCCTGTCCCTTTGTTTAGGCCTTACAGGACACACACCAAGTAACACACACAAATAATTTCAAGCAGTGATTTCTCGTGTTTCCATAGCAATCGGTGTTTGTTTCTGTGATAAACAAGCTTATGTGTCTGTTTGCGCTGTCATGTTGAACCAGTGAGCTACTGACAGTAAAGCTGGGTTAAAAGTTGGTGCTTAACAGTGTGATGATGGTGAAGGTGCGTGTCAACTAATGAAATGAGCTGCTTTCATATTTTGTTGCTCTCGACTTCCATCACGCTTGATTTAAATTCCCCACTACGAGGTGTGACTGCTTGCTATATGCTTGTCAGTGCAGTGTTTTTCTTCTGAAGCTCCTCAATCAGTTTTTCCTGTCATCAGTTACAATATCCTCTTATTTAGAGGGACACCACAGCAACTGGAGGAGTTATTTGTAGCAGTGTCCGTTGGAAAATCTGGAGTGGAGATGCTTTTATCGCTGGATCTGGGATGGACTCCACACATCACTCTGGGCTCAATGTTAACGACTGTGTTAGATAAAAGCTCTGACAGGTTGTTTGTTGGATATGGTTTTGTTTGCTGTATTTACATTTTTAAGACGAAGGAAAACTAAAATGCAAATTCAGTTGGTGGGATTTGAAGCAGCCTGCACACCCTCCTCATGAGAGCCTCTTGGTGTTTTACAAGCTCCAATCTGGGCTGGTGCACATATGTGTGTATGCGCATGCATTGTCTTGTCATTCTCCAGTAAATGCAAATCATTTGTTCAGGACTGAAGCCAATAGCGTCGTGCCAGAGGTTTATTCAAGCTGAGGACCGACTGGCTGGCTTTATTTGTTTTGCTTTTATGTTTGCTAAAGTAGGGACATGCCCTTTTGTTGAAAATTGCGTTTGTTGGTTGGTAGATGTGTATTTGCAGTGAGAAGAAAAGGGACACTTAGGCAGATATTTGTTTAGGACTGATTCATTTCCATCTTTTTTTGTAATGTAACTAGGCATAAAACATTTTCATTTTAGTTAACAAGAGGTCATAAAATGATGGAAATGTTCACCAGAGCACAAGTTGGCATCTTCAGGAGTCTTATTTTTTCTGGCCAGCAGTAAAGCCCCAAATATATTCAATAAAGAAAGACATAAAAAAACAAAACAACAGCCTCAAGTTCAAAAAGCCGGACGTTTAGAAGGTTTGGCGTGTTTGTCTAAAGAAAATACCAAAATATTGACTTGATTTCCAGGCAAATAATTAATTGTATCACAGTTTTCTGTAAATATGCCAGCTGTAATATTAGATATCACATTGTGCTCCATGATCACACTAGAAATATATGCTCAGTGTTGACATTTGACCCTTCTCCGGTCTCAGTGTCTTCCTGTGACGAGAAACCTAGACTGGAACCTTATACAAGGATTGCACATTTTGAACACTGCAGGAAACATCTAAAGAAAAGCTGCTGGGTTTGAATATGATTCTGTAATGCCGAGCCATTCAGCTGGAATTTCTTTGCTAAATTTAATGTAGCCTATTAGGCTTGTTCGGTTTACAGGCAAGAAAAGTGGATAACTCCACTGTGTGTAATATAATAGATTATGAGATGGATGTCTTGATGTCTGTTAATGTCAAGTGTGATTTGGCAAAAGCGTGTAAAGGTTTTAATTGTCTGCATGGGTAAATGGTTTCTCTTCTCTTTCTGTCTCCCCACCAGAGTGCCCACAGAAATGTGGACGGCGAGCGTGCACAGTGGATGGTGAGTGCTGCCACTCTCAGTGTCTGGGCAGCTGCACAGTCCCTGGGAGTGACACAGCATGTGCAGCATGTGTGCATTACTACCACCAAGGGCGCTGCGTTGCTGACTGCCCTCAAGGCACCTACAAATTCGAAGGCTGGCGCTGCATCAGTGCCGAGCTTTGCTCCAAGGTCCACCTCCCCGACTTCGACAGCTTCATTATCCATGGAGGAGAGTGTATGCCTGAATGCCCATCTGGGTACACGCGCACTGCACCCAACAGGTGAGCTGCAGTTCATCGCAAACTGCTTTTATTGGCGGCCTACCATTAGTGCAGATTCCACAGTTTACTATTAGTGTCCAATTACAACACTCAACATCGTTCTGCTACAATATTGGGCAGTTAGTTTTGAGGTACCCAACCATCGTTAGTCTCTGTTTGTCTGGTAAAATAGTGAGAGTTGCTGGCTAAATCTTGAAATTTATGGTGGATATACAACAGCTGCACCTGTAAAATGCTGGTGTAAAATCTTTCAGGGACAGAAATAAAAAAAAAAAAAAACATCTTGGGAGAGCTAGCGGAGTTTATTGAATGGACCTCCATCAATAAAATGACACTGTGTACTTACTGTCCTGTCTCTGTCCGTCCCCAGTATGTTCTGTACAGCCTGTGATGGTCTGTGCGATAAAGTGTGCGAGGAGAAGGTCATCGACTCCATGGATGCTGCTCAGTCTCTCAAAGGCTGCACTGTTATCAAAGGCAACTTGCATATCAACATCCGCAGAGGCCGTAAGTACTGCAGCGTAGTACAGCAACACTACAGTTAATGATCACGTTTCTACTTGAAGGAGGGCTGAAGAGTTTCTCAGCAGGTGTAGAGCATTATAAAGGCCTGTTAGTTGTATACTATTAAACCATTCCCATAGGGAATTACTCACAGATTGTGCAGTCTGGGAAACTCAGATGGGAATTGTACAACTTGACAGTATTTTCTCCAAACAGGATGAAACACATTTTTGTTGATTTAAAAGTTTTTTGAATACATGGTACGATAATAATAAGTTATTTTTTAGAGTGAAAACAGCATTTTCATTAGTGTGGAACACTTTCTGGACAACAGTGGTTGTATCTGCTTTAGTTGTGGCGAAGACATAATGATGACAAATGTACAAGTTCTGCAAGCTGAACACAGCATGGTATATAAAAGCAAGGATTATATTACAGTCAGCCATAATAGTGACATGAACCTCGATAAGTCAGTGATGAAAAACTGAGTAGATACATATGTAAACAGACTATTAGGATAAGTGGGGAAAAAAAAGAATTTATGTGTTTGTGGCTGTCTGTGTTTGTGTTTAGACAACATGGTGGCAGAGCTGGAGAGTTTCACGGGTTTGATCCAGAGGGTGACGGGTTATGTGCGGATCACACATTCGCACACTCTGAGCTCCCTGGCCTTCCTCCGCAGCCTCAGATACATCGATGGAGAAAACCTCCAGGACGAGTAGGACCACACACAAGCATACACACACACACACACACACTACAAGCATAAACACATAATCACAATTGAATCCCTAATGACTCACAGTGGAGACTGTTACGGTGTATGGTCACACTCTGAGCTCGGTTCCAGTCCTGTTGTTTTCGAGAGGATTCGCCTCAATAGTAATTTATTCGAGTGAATACTGCTCAACAAAGGAATATCTCACTAACCGCATAATTGGTCAAAATTGGGTTATAACCTGCACCTGAATCTCTGTTTTAGGCTACTGTGAAAGAAAAATAATTATGCAATACAAATTTATACATAAACAAACATAAAATCAAGACAACATGCAGTTATTTGTACTTTGCTTGGTGGTCTGTGTGCTGATGGATTTTGTTGCTGTACTGCCCTCTCTGCAGCAGAGAGATGTCTAATTACACAGCTAAAATCATAAAGAGACCAACTAACAACACAGCCAACGTCATAGAAAAACAGTTAACTACATAGCTAAACCCAAAAAGACAATTAGCTATACAGGTAAAGTCATAGAATATGACTAGCTACACAAGTGAAGGCATAAAAGACGACTAACTACACAAGTAAAGTCTTAAAAGACTGCTAGTTACACAAGTGAAATCTTAAAAGACTGCTAGCTGTACAAGTAAAGTCTTAAAAGACTGCTAGCTGTACAAGTAAAGTCTTAAAAGACTGCTAGCTACACAAGTAAAGTCATCAAAGACGACTAACTACACAAGTAAAGTCATAGAAGACTGCTAGCTACACAAGTGAAATCATAAAAGACTGCTAACTGCGCAGATACAATCTTACAACAGTTATTGTGAACAATATCCAGTAATAACTTTTTTCCTTAATAAAATGACAAGAAAGCAATGAGAGAACAGTTTGTGGCTTTTTTTGAGCGTCCTGTGAAGATAGTCCAAATGCAGAGAGCTGTATCTGCTTTTTGGTATTGTGCGAGTTCTACAGCAGTTTTACAGTTTTGCCAACTGATGTAAAACTTTCAAACCCCTCTTTTTTTTTTTTTTTTTAACTTCACTGACTCTTTAGTTAGTGTGCTTTATAGGCCAGAATAATACTCAGCACCATAGTCGACAGTCTTGACAAAGTATCCATGTGCTCCCTTTGTTGCTACAGTCTGATGTGGGAATGACACTTGTGCCTTTTTTATTCAGTGTTTACCTGTTGCTGCATAATTGAGCAGTGATAGGGTTCTAATGTAGGTAGTCAAGGACAATACAGAAATATAGGGAGAATGAACTGATTGTGAGGGTACAGACTGGAGAGTATTTATTTTGCACAAACTCGCTTGTTGTGGGTTGCTAACTGTAATATCATCAGTAAAGCTAAAAAAAAAAAAATCATTCAGGAATCTTGTTTTCAACTGAGAGAAGCAAATGACACATGCCCCTGTTTTTTTTTTTTTTTAATTAGACCTTGAATGCAGTATAACCTCCAACAGTCCCAGCAAAGGTTCTCAGGGTCATACAGAGGCCTTCACTCCCTCAATCGTCTGTTTGTCTTTGAATTCACAGGAATCTTACTGTCCCAAGGCCCACATTACAATCATTCCTTGATGTCTGGGTGTTACCCAGTGACTCATAAAAACCTCCTCTCCAGCACAAAAACTCAGCCCCTGGTTAATCGGATTTGCCAGGTGATTTTTATCCCGCTGTCTAGCAGTCCCTCTACTGTCTAACTGGGTCATTAAACCTCCAGCCGAAAATAGAGATCTACTGAGAAGAGTAAAACGGCTAAATTTTGTTCAATTAGCATAGCTTCCCCCTTATAGAAAAGGGACTAGCAGCGGTTGTGTTCTGTAGTTTTCCATTACACCTTGAAAATAAGGCATTATCCTTGGTGGGAATATGGGCTTTTTGTCCAACAAGAATCACTATGCACACATTACTCTGATAGACAAACTTACGCAAATAAACGTAAATGAAACAGCATTTTGTTGACAGTCATTTATTCATTGTCTCTTTTTTCTGCCCTCTAGCATGTATGCCTTCTCAGCATTCGACAACCAGCAGCTCCAGTATCTTTGGGACTGGAAGCAGCACAACCTCACTATCAAAACAGGAAAGCTGTTTTTTAGAGCCAACCCCAAACTCTGCATGTCCGAGATCCGCAACATGTGGGAGAAGACGGGCATCCAAGGCCGCTTTGATGAGAGTGATTTCCGAAACAACGGCGACAGAGCCAGCTGTAAGGGTCAAAACGAGCTTCACGCTGAAAACCACAAACATTTAAATTGCTACATCCAGCTCATATGCAGGAGTTACTCTAGTTTGCAAACACCTCTTCTGAGCCTGATGTTGGTCTGCACCATATGCTAGTATTTACTGCACCGCTCTGTCAACAAGACTAATTGCTGTATATTAAACCAAACATATTCAAGTGTTTTGTCTTCTTCTTCTTTTTTTTTTTTTTTAACTCTGATCTGACTCCATTATAGGTGAAAGCACCATCCTAAAGTTCAGGTCCAACAGCACCAGCAGCACAAGGATCAAGCTGACATGGCAACGCTACCGACCTCCCGACTACAGAGACCTCATCAGCTTTATCGTCTACTACAAAGAGGCGTAAGTTTTTCAGAATAGCCTCAGTCATTAGCTCCTTCCTTCCCCAGGGCTGAGTGTTATTGAACAGAGATGGGAAATGAAACTTGATTCCTGTAGCCTATCAATCAACTTGTTTGGAACCTCACTGTCAGACTGATTAACTGGACTTTAAATATACGGAACAATAAATAAATCTAACTTCTCGCCAGTCAGGTTTCTGTCCAAGTTTAGTGCAGATTGTAAACAAATTTCCAGAAAATCTGCAACGAGTTACAATGAGTTATTGTTGTTCCATCCGCAACTTTTAACCCAATATCAGGAGTTGGGCTTATTGAGATAAACTGCTAGGGGCGCTAATTCTCCAGTGTTGAAAACATGGTGGAAATATGGCCTTTCTGTTTTATGTATGAATGTGAGGAAGCTTACAGTCTCCTCATCGCACCACATGAATCTGATGCATTTGTCTGCTGCCATTGTCCATTTGCATCCGTCATGTACGTGACCGACGCAATACATTGAAGAGGTGTATAAGAAAGGTGAATAATTGATTATTAAACTGTGACAAAACCCCGTTTCCTTCCAGGCCGTACCAGAACATCACAGAGTTCGAGGGGCAGGATGGCTGCGGCTCCAACAGCTGGAATATGGTGGATGTGGAGCTGAGGCCTGACAAAGACTCGGACCCTGGAGTTCTGCTGTCCAGCCTGAAGCCGTGGACGCAGTACGCTATCTTTGTTAAAGCTATCACACTCATGGTGGAGGACAAACATATGCCAGGTGCCAAGAGCAAGGTGGTCTACATCCGTACCAGCCCCTCAGGTAAACACAATAACTGCATCCATTAAAGGTCTTCTGTCAGCAACGAAAGAATCACTTCTAAGGAGGTGTGTTTGACTAAGCCTCCACTAAAGAATCCAAAGTAATGTTAAGTGTCTGCGTCCTGTTTTACTCTACACAGTGAATGTAGTAGGAATGTCAGAAGTCTTCCTTAATTTGGGTACAAAGACATTGACTAGTGGAGACTAGGTCGAGACCTGACTACACTAAAAGAAGAGAAATCAACAGCAGTCGTTAGGCTTTTGCCAAAAATGTAAATTTCTGTCCGACATAACTTTATATCAGATTTTTATTCACAATTAATCTATACCAAACACAAATTGAATAGAATTAAATTAAAAATAGGCTAACGGAATAGACATTCTTATGGTTCTTATCATGTTCATTTAAGGGTAGATTTGTGGGAGGAATGGTAGAATGACATACAGTTTTAAGACTAACTAATTTAGCCAATGAAATTCTTACGCCACAAGTATGAACCAGCCAAAAAGAATTTCAGTTATAACTATATTGTAGCAAATAGCGCACAAGGCTTTGTCCATATAATGTGACTCACTTACATCATTTGTTTTTGAACCCAGAGCATACCCATATAAGGAACACATCCCCACCAGTGCACCTCATCTTTCTCAGCTTGGCTGATGGTCTGGTCAGTTTCTTGTGTCATGACTGACCTCTGGTGGCATGTGTTGTGCATTACAGCCTATCCTTCTATGGCTCATGTCTGTGTCACTTTAATGTAAACAGAAGCATATGTTTTATGGTACTGAAGACCTCACCTTTCAAAAAGATTTCTATGTAGCATAGAATACCTTACAACTATGATACTGCCCATGCTGAGTAGTTGCAATAGTGCAGGAAGCTAATGATTAAAGGCAGAAATTTTATGAACACCAGATTTCATCTGTTTCACTGTAAAAGTCGGTCTCACCAGAACCCTCCTGCTAGCATGTAAATGTGTTTACATTACTACTTGTTTTGCAAATAGTTGTGGGATTTTTTCTTGATGACAGTGTGATGCATTTTTGAATCTAGTCCAAAAATACCATAAGGAGATGGAGAGGAAGATGGTTTGAAATAAACACAGCTGCAACCCAAAGAGAAGGAGAAAACTGATTTACACAAACTCTAATATAATTATATGAAATGGAAGACTGCTTTAAATAAATCCAGCTGCAGTGTAAAGACATAGCCGTGCTGTGATGTCAGAGAAGCACATCTGCACTGGCAGACTAAAGAAGTTTCCCAAAAGTTCCTAAGAGTTTTTGTCTGTCTCTCTCTCTCTCTCCCTCAGCACCCTCCATGCCTCAGGATGTGCGAGCATACTCGAACTCATCCACACAGTTGGTGGTACGCTGGTCGCCCCCTATCTCGCCGAATGGGAACCAGACTTACTACTTAGTAAGATGGCAGCAACAAGCGGAAGACCGAGAGCTTTATCAGCACAATTATTGCTCTAAAGGTACCCACACAAGCAAGCACAAACCTCCACATCCACCATTACTGCTAGTCGTTGAGAGCAAACGGAATGCACCTGCCTGAAAACACATCTTTTTCTTCCACCTTCAGAGCTGAAGATCCCAATAAGGATTGCTGCCATAGGGGTGGGAGACCAAGAAGAGGACACCAAGCCCACTAAACCAGACACTGATGGGGCAGATAAAGGACCCTGTTGCCCCTGCCCCAAATCAGTGGAAGACCTAGAGGCCGAAGCTGCTGACGCCTCTTACCGAAAAGTCTTTGAAAACTTCCTGCACAACTCTATTTTTACACCGAGGTAATCTACCCATTGTCAGTATTTTGCTGTGTGGCACGTGTGTGAATTGGCTGTGACAGCTTCCTTTAATCCCCTTCTCTAAACCAAACATAAAGATCTTAAAACAAGAAAAACTTCTACTGTGCAGTTTATGTGTAATTTTTCATGTAGCTTAAATAGAGATCAGTAACTTCCTTCAGTCCTTGGTAAAGTACCATTATGTGTAACAGTTAAGAAAACACAACCCATTATGAGTGATCAAACAATCCTCCAATGTTTTTTTCCCCCATCCTTGCTCCTTTTCTGTATGTCATGTTTCGGCTTCTGTCTGATTTAGGGACTCAGCTCGCTGCTCTGCTCTTAAGACATCTGCATCACATTATCTCTCTTGGTCTACACACACACACACACACACACACACACACACACACACACACACACAGCTCAGTGCAGTTGATGGTAATTAGTTCTCAGTATGTTTTGCAGAGGCAGAAGAAAGGGATCGGTGTTCTTACTACTAAAGATAAACATCAGGTGTAATCACATGCTCTGCATTTTCCTTTCAGCTTACCTCAAACCCTCACCCTGTGTGAGCCAACATGCATGCCACCTTGTAAGTCAGGCTTTATCTTTGAAGTCTGCTTATGTGATCGTTACATGCATTTAGTTGGAGCTGTGTGACAATAGTTAGGGAAGGAACACTTTGTTTATTTGCTGTAATGAGAAATATAATTAAGGGTTAAATGTCAAAAGCATTCAAAAGGTGTCCACATTTTGTTTCAGGTGAAATGAAACCTGATGCACATGGAAAGCCTGTCTTTTTTTGCTGAGGTCATATAACTGTAGCTCCCAACTCATTCAAGCAGCTATCATGAAATTTAATACACTTGCTTAGGATCAACTTGGAAATCTCTTGTTAGCAGTGATTTTGGTATATCACATACTGACATATGCTGTATGCTTTGCTTTTGAAAGTTCATTTGCACAAAAATTAGCCAAGCTGTTCAGTAATTCTATTTAGAATTTGCCTACCCAGCTTCATCCCAGCTGCTGAAATGAAGGCCAAATGGCAATGAAAACAAAGCAGATCACTCAAAGACCTAAGGTTAAGCGAAGAAAGGTTTCCAGTAAGTCTGGGATCAACATGGAGCTAAAAAAGAAACAATAAACAACAACGCACACAGATACAGGTTTCAAAAAAAGAGCTTTGTACATCCGACTTTAACCATATGAAGTACAGAGTTGTGACAGTCATGTCTGTCTTATCTACTTGATGCTATAAAGTCACTTTGAATGCACCAGTTTCATTTCTATAGTTTAATAATCAAACTTAAACAGTACTTTTTTCTCTGCCATTCTTGTACCTTCAGGCCACCAGATCGCCGCCGCAGAGATCTTTTTGGTGTCGCCAACTCCACTCACTCCCGCCGCAACCGACTGCATGCTAACAGCAGCACTGTCCCTCCTCCTCATGCCGCTGGCAACAGCAGCACCGCTGACCTGGAGCCAGCTGACCGAGAGTTCGAGTTCATGGAGCAATCAGTGACAGAGCGCGAGCTTCAGATCTCTGGTCTGCAGCCCTTCACAGTTTACCGCATCGACATTCATGCGTGCAATCGACAGGTCCAGCGCTGCAGCGCGGCAGAATTTGTCTTCTCCAGAACCAAGCCTGCAGGTTAGATGAGAAAGGATCTGTTTACAATCACAAGCTGATTAATAATTTGGACCTGACACTGTCATGTCTCCCAGGTGTGCAATTCTGCTGAAATGCTGATGAATGTTAGGATTTACTGAAGCCAGTGGAAAATGTTCTGGATGGACATGATTTCTGAGTAAGCCCTGGTAACCTATTCTGCCTGTGATTCTCCAGAAAAGGCTGATGACATCCCAGGGCCAGTGTCCTGGGAAGGCCACGAGGACTGGGTGTTTCTGCGCTGGCCAGAGCCGCTTCGCCCCAACGGACTCATCCTCATGTATGAGATCAAGTTTAAACTGGCTTCTGAGGTAGGACATCATCTATACATGTACCTGATGTCTCACAGAGCACTTGTTGGTTTTAACAAGGACTGAAAAGCCAGAAAAAAAACAAACTAAAGTTTATTCAGAATTCCTTGCAAGAAATGCTGGACATAATTTTCTTCTTTGAAAGAGGCTGCTTATGATGGCTAACCACACTGAGGTATTGCTGGTTGATTGCTGTGTCTGCCGATCATTGAAGTGGCTGAAAATCAATAGCCTCTGTGCATACCATACACACTTTAACATTGTACACTAAATTAGTTGGTTACCCCCTAATTTGTTGGGTCCAAGTGTCAAAATCAACTCCATAAGCTCTACTTTTGCACTTGATGAACAATTTTTCAAAACTTTTTGAAATTCCATTAGAACCGTCTGATATGTATTATATGCTACATGCTACTGATGCAATTTTAGCCGAGACTTTAAATCACTTTAACAGTAGACAATGTCTACTGACTAGTGGATGCAGCGTTTAATTGCAACCTAATGGTTTAAAGGTCGTGCAGAATGGATACTGACACGCACAGTGTAATGTGGAAAGAGTAAATGCTCATTTTGTACACTGAATAGATGAACCCAGTAAACAGGAATGCCAAAAAACAAAGAAACAGCAGTTTTTAAACTGCCAACAGTTGGTCGCATACTTACGTAGTGACCAATCACTGACCAGACATAAAACTTATTATTTATTAATCAAGAGGCAGAATAGGTCTGGCACTGTAAACCCTGTCCTTACTTATAATTGCACAGTACAAATTAAGAACAGCAGGCCTTTTGCTATTGCTTTTGGATTTTGTAAAACTTAAGTCCATAATAAGCCCTTTTTGTCTGTGTGTGTGTGCGCGTGTCAGACGGAGAAGCACGAGTGTGTATCTGGTCAAATGTATCAGACACAGCGTGGCGTTCGGCTGTCCAACCTCAGTCCAGGAAACTACTCAGTCAGAGTGAGAGCCACGTCACTGGCTGGAAACGGCTCATGGACTCACCCTCTGGATCTCTATGTGGCAGAACGTAAGATGCACACTGACATGCCTCATCAGAGTTCATTGTTCCTTTTTGTATCCATACATCATTGTTTGTCTGACAACATATTAGTACATCAAACAAAGCGATGTGATTAATCTGCATATTCGACCCAACAGGATATGAGAATGTCCTCTACGCGATGATCTTTGTTCCAATCGCCATTCTCCTCCTCATCTGCGCTCTGGCAGCAATGCTGGTTGTCTTCAACAGGAAACGGTGTGTACAGTAATTATTTTATCACCTCCATTATGAAATTGCATAGAACAAATAGGATGCAGAATATAATATTTAAAAAAAAAGGGAAAATATATTTTTTTAAAAACATCACTGAAGATCTGCAGGAATAAAGATTAAAACTGTATTAGAAAATTATTATGCGCTTTTCTTCCTTTTTCTTCTCTAACATAACAGCTTGCTAATGGTTTGTGTGGTCACATTTGGATCCACGTTTACTTGCAACCAACACGCAAACCAAAGCAAATTGCTTCTGCCAATTATAGTCCATAAACCTAAGTGGCAAATGAAGCTAGATTTTTTTAATTGGCACCATCTTGTATTTGTGGTTGTACCATGTAATATGTAGTCAGTGTTTATGATATAATACCAAAACCAAAGAACATAAATTCATATGTGGTTTGAACAGTAGGAAATTACCTACAGTCACATAAAGCAATGTATTCCCACAATAAAGCAGCAGCTCCTCTCAAGTTCTTAAAGGAAAATCAATATTCCGAATTGCTCAAACCCAAGTGTGCCTTCAAACTGAAATATTCCAGTGTTGTATTTTGCCAGTATTTTTTGGAAGCTAAAACTGTAATATCTATGATTATATGCCATGCAGATCCCAAAATGTGTGTGGTGTGTGTAAAGATGGTATGTGCAAATTTGTCTGCGTGTCTGTAAACACTTTTGTTTTTGTGTTGGTCAGGAACAGTGACCGGCTTGGAAATGGAGTCCTTTATGCCTCGGTTAACCCCGAGTACTTCAGCGCTGCAGAAAGTGAGTGACGTCTCTAAGTGAGAAATATGGTGAAAACCATCTATGTAGGTGCAAAGGTCTGTATTCACTTTTTAAAAATTTTTTGTGCAGTGTATGTACCAGATGAGTGGGAGGTGGCACGGGAGAAGATCTCCCTAAGTCGTGAGCTCGGCCAAGGGTCTTTTGGCATGGTGTATGAGGGCACGGCCAAGGGTGTGGTCAAAGACGAACCAGAGACGCGTGTCGCCATCAAGACTGTCAACGAGTCAGCCAGCATGAGGGAGCGGATCGAGTTTCTCAATGAGGCGTCTGTCATGAAGGAGTTCAACTGTCACCACGTGGTATGTATGCGCACAAACTCACACAAAATACGGTCATACAGAGCAGTGAGGGCAAGTTCTACTCGCAACTCAACTGTTGGAGGATGCAAAGTACATTCAGTGTCATTTAAATTCATCATGATGACAAATATACAAGTGTGTAAGTTTGTTGTTGTGTTGTGGTGTTCGCTGCAGGTTCGTCTCCTTGGAGTGGTCTCTCAGGGCCAGCCCACCCTGGTCATCATGGAGCTGATGACGCGAGGAGACTTGAAGAGTTACTTGCGCTCTTTGCGACCGAAAGAGGTAGTGGCTGGTTGTCATTCAGCTGCAAAGAAAACATTTTATAAAATAAAAAAACATCAACTATTCAGTCCATATTATGTACTGTAAAAAGATTCAAGCATTGAAAGTAAAGTGAGGAATCTTCAACAATATCATGGGCACTTTTATTCAAAGTGCAGTAAAGAAAACAAATCCAATTGAAATCATTATCTTGTGCGACCTTGTTTTCGCCACTTCTCACTTTCCATGGCAGCAGCCTACAGTTAGGTTGTTCCAAGCATCTTGGAGAACTTGCCACAGTTCTCCTGTTGACTTAATCTGTCTCAGTGTCTTCTGTCTCTTCATGAAATCCCAGACTGACTCTGTGATTTTGAGATCAGGACTCTGTGGGGGTCGTACCATCTGTCACAGGACTCTTTGTCGCAGACGCTAGTTCTTTGTAACTCAGGCTGATGGTACTGTGTGATAAATAAAAATCTGACCATTTAATGTGCCTAAAACCTTTGCACAGTACCGTATGTACTGGTGTATTTTGTTAGAGCATGATAAAAATTTGTGTTATCTCTTGACATCTCTGTTAATACCAGTGTTCAATAAAGCCATGTGCTATTAGTGCATTAGATGTATACCGTATGAAAAATGGATGCAACATATAATAGTCATTGTAAACTGTGGGTCTGATAAATACTGTTAATCTGTTCTTTTGCATGTAGAACTTATTCGATGTTGTCTGTGTGTCTCCAGCAACAGTGGTCGAGCCTGTCTCTCCCTCCCCTGAAGAAGATGCTTCAGATGGCAGGGCAGATTGCTGATGGCATGGCTTACCTCAATGCCAACAAGTTTGTCCACCGAGATCTGGCAGCCAGGAACTGCATGGTGGCCGAGGACTTTACCGTTAAGATAGGAGGTAAAGAAAGGGTTGAAGGGTCACTGTCGGCTAAGAAACAGAAGCAGCAGGGAGTTGGGAACACGCCCATTAAGTGTGAATGGAATTTCAGGCAAATTATGAAATTATGAAATCGTGAGGATAGCCTTAATCGCAGCACAGGGAACGGCCAAGGGGCAGCAGTGAAGCTGTGTCAACATGTTTTCATTAGATCCAGTGCTGGACTCTCCAGCGAAATGTGTTGTAAGTTGCTATTTTATTTTCTGACCAAACTGTGAATGTGTGACCTCTTGGAGTTTGAAAAGCTCTACACCATAATCTAGACAATTATGGTTACAGTGATGTGTCTACAGTTTAAGATCCTGGCATTTTTAAATGTCTATAATACTGGCATGGTGTGATTTCTAAGGGATTATGGGTAATGTAACACTATTTCTGGGGTTATAATCTCAGTAAAGAGCACCTTCCTGTGAAATATGGAGCAACACAACAGACTGCAGTTAAACAACGAAGTCTGTAGATATATGACACAGTATTTCACTTGAAATGTTCCAACTATTGGAAACATCTTTATCAGATGCAGTGAATCCGAAACATATTTTTATGCACATTTTGAAGCACCACGTTAGAAGAAAGTTAATGGAATCAGCAAAATGAAAACAGTTTAGCTGAAATGGTAGTGGGAGATGATACAACCTTTTTGAAATAAGTTGTGATGTAGCAGCCATTTAACTCGCAGGTCTGATTAGCTGTTTCCGCTCTTTTCCTTACTGTGCCTCCAGACAGCATTAAATATGTCTAAAACCAGCTCACATGAAACAATAATTGCAACTTTCCAGATTGAAAACATTTCCTGAAGACTTCTCCTCATTTTTTTCTTTTAGATGGGTCAAGTTTTCTTTGCTTTTCAGCTGAAAACTGTAGATTTTTTTCTTTTTACTTCAGATACATACTACAGCTGCCTGTTTCATGCAGTACTGGATCATGCTACCTTGCCGTATTAATCCACGTTAAACTTTGGCTAATGTAGCCAGTAGTGTGAAATGAGCGGTCATATATAGCCATGCGTTACATAGCCTATACCGCCACCCACCACCCTGATACTACGCAGCCCACTTAATTCACTCTAGCCTAATTCCCTTTTTCAAACGTTTGCTTCAAACTTGACAATTAAATGGAAACACAACTATAATCATTGCTTTACTTCCTCCTCATGCATTCATGTGTGCCTATGTTTTTGTGTCTGTGTGGGTAGACTTTGGCATGACCAGAGACATCTATGAGACAGACTACTACCGCAAAGGTGGTAAAGGCTTGCTCCCTGTCCGCTGGATGTCACCCGAGTCTCTGAAGGACGGCGTCTTCACCACCAACTCAGATGTCTGGTAAGCAGGCGCACACAATTACCAACAAAAGCACGACGGCTTGATTCTCTGTATAAACTACTGCCAAAGAACATGTTGTTATAATTCCTTGCCCTCTCCCTCTTCCCCGCTGTGCAGGTCATTCGGGGTTGTATTGTGGGAGATTGCCACTCTGGCAGAACAGCCCTACCAGGGTCTGTCCAATGAGCAAGTCCTTCGCTTTGTCATGGAGGGAGGACTGCTGGAGAAACCACAGAACTGTCCTGACATGCTGTAAGACACCAACACACAAACACTATTCTGCGGATTCACACATTATGCTCTCATCTCCCTGTCTGTCTGTCTATCGTGTTTCCCTCCGCTCTGCTGGTTAGTTGTTAGTGACTACTGATTATTCACACCGTGAATCAGTGCTGCTGCCTACAGCCTGTGATCACAGGAATTCCAAACCACAGTGGTGCTTGCCTTCACAGCCGCCTGTTTTTGCTGTGTGTGCTTGTCCCGTCTGTGATGTGTATGTTCTTAATATGAAACAGCGAGTATAAATCCTCGTGAGAAGAGCTGTGAGCGTGACAAACAAATGTGGCCACACACAAAAAAATCACTGAGGACTCATCAGATGGTGAAGTCATGAGGAGAACAAATGTGAAGTCACTGAGTTTGCTCTCTTCTCTAACCGCAAGCATTTAAAAACATTATTGTTCATAAGTTGCTATCTATAACAACATTTTAATATTAATGCAATATGCAGTTTAAACTGTTGCTGTTGCCTGTAGGTTTGCATTAGAGTTTGACAGGTCATTCACCTCATTCATAATGGTAAACAGCAGCCATTGTAATCAATATTGTTTATCAGTTTGACATTTTGACAAATGTGCTCATTTGCTATCTTGTCAAAACTTGCAAAGATTGATACCACTCTCATATACAATATGTATGCCAGCTGTATAGCTTTAGCCAGTTAGCATAGCTTAGTGCAAGACTTAGAGACAGATAACCAAGCACACTCACATTCACACCTACAGACAATTTAGAATCACCAATTAGCCTCAACATGTTTTTGGACTGTGTGGGAGGAAGCCAGAGAACCCAGAGAGAACGTGAAAAGTACAGTCGTCCTCAAATGTATTCATACCCTCCCATTAAAGAAGGAAAAAAAAAACAGCTGTCACTGAATTCTAGTCTATCCCAGCTGACTTAGGGCGAAGGCAGGGGACACCCTGGACAGGTTGCCAGTCTATCACAGGGCTACACTTAGAGACAGACTTCTTTGTTTTCTAATATATAAAATCCAGAATTGACCATACAAGCAGAGACAATAAGTTTGACGTGGGACAGAAGGGACACTTCTGTGCAGAGCTGTCTGTACGTCACAGCCTGCAGAACAGCTTTGGTTCAAATGACTCAAACCTCTACCTGTAAATCCAGACATCCATGACCACATTTGTTGAAAATGTGGCAATTTTGGCTGCGTTGTTATTTCCAAAGCTGCACAGATGCTGTTAAAGTTTAGCTATCTAACTTTTTAAAAATATATATATATATATATATTTTTTATATATAAAAGAGACAAAAACATTAGAGGCAAATAATAGTGTAGTGATGTTTATTTATTATGTTAAAAAAACAATCATGCAAGTGTAGGTAGCAACCGTCCTCTTTGGGCAGAAATGTTGTTGCTTTTTCATGTTTCACACTGTTTCGCTGTTGCAGCTGAATTAATTACTGTGCTGTAACTTTTCTAAGGTTCGTTGTTAAGTGATATGCATGCTGTAAGACCTTGAGCTGCAATCCTCTCAGAGTTATTTGGCAACACAATACTACAGTATCCATATTCAGAATCTAATATGCACATTAACAGGTAAAAATCTTAAAACCATTTATGTACGTGATCAACATTTTCTGCTCAGATGTCAGATACAGTGTCTGAAAAATCTACTGGGAAGTCTGTAAATTAGAACCTGGAAATTGTAAAACAAATTGAAAGTGGAAAGAGTGTACGAAATCTGGTCCCAAAACCTAAATCCACCTCCCAACAACTCTACATTTTACTTCACTTCTACAAACACTTGATAACATAGCCTGTACCTCTGTGTAGAGCCAGGCTAGCTGTTTCCAGGCTTTGTGTTAAGCTGAGCTAACTGTCTGCTGTGTTGATGTTATTATTTACCCAAAAATTTCCCAAATTGACAATTATTTTATTTTTTTCTGATTTATAAAATGAATGAATTGCTGTCAAAGAAATCATTTCTTATATTTGGTTACCATGTCGGTGTGTTGGGCTTACTTGTCAGATGCGGGCTTGGTGCAGGGCTCTCTGTGCTGGACCCTGGTGAAAGCAGCATGAGCTCTGATTCATAAACAAGAAGTTAGGGCGGGGGGCGGGTGTCATACAGCCGTTTTAGAAACAGAAAGCAAACATTTGGCAAAAGTAAATATTGGCTTGTCGGCAGGAAAGCACAGTTCCTCTGGATAGGGTCATTACTACAGGACGACGTGTTGTTGATGGAGACTGAGCTAACCTGTGTGTGTATGTGTGCGTGTACAGGTTCGAGCTGATGCGAATGTGTTGGCAGTACAATCCTAAGATGCGTCCATCCTTCGTGGAGATCATCAGCAGCGTAAAGGATGAGCTGGAACCGTCTTTCAGAGAGGTTAGTTTCTTCTACAGCGCAGATAACAAGCCGGCCGACGCTCCGCCGCTCCACCTGGACAAGCTGGACAACATGGATGACGTTCCTCTGGACCCTCCTTCTTCCACACAACCACAGCAAACCCCAGCCCCCCAACAGACCCCGCCCTCCCCGAGTTCAGAGGCCCCACCTGCCCCATCGCTAGCCCCCAGCTCCCCTTCCTCTCCTTGCACGTCGAGCGTGGCCATGGACAAGCAGCCCTCCGGCCAGCAAGCAGCCAATGGGCTGTCGGGGGCGGGCCTCGCAGCAGCGTCGGGGCTCGGGACAGGCTCGGGCGTCACAATGCGGCCGTCACTGGACGAACTGCCGCCGTACGCGCACATGAACGGAGGACGCAAAAACGAGCGCACTATGCCTCTCCCGCAGTCCTCTGCCTGCTGATCTGCTGATCGGACAGAAAAACCCACCCGACTGCAAACCTTCCACCTGCCGGACGTCTCAGTGGGTGGGATTTTTCTCTTTGTTTTTTTTTTTTTTTAACAAGTACAGCAAAACCGTGTCCACCAGCTGAGTGTGGCTACTCCGTGAGAAGCAAAGACTCACAGGAAGGTGGAGAAAACTGTCAATTAGTCCATGTTCTGCTGTATCTCCACACACTTTTTTCATATTATTCTCGTTTTGGTTTCTACCAGCTGGCTGTCAGATGTGACACTGCCCTTGCTGCTGAGTGGGAGGACCCAAAAGAAAAAAAGAAACGGTGGAAGACAGAAAAGACTACGAATCATTTGGGGGAGCTCACACTCTCTGTCTCTCTCTCTTTACGGCTGAACTTATTTTATAAATTGTTGTTTGTTACTTTTTTTATATGTATTTCCAAATGGGAAAAAAACAACATGTGTAGGCCTTTATAAATGACGGCGTTTTGTTCGCTTTTGAACGGGCATTATGGTGAAAACGTTTTGCATATCTAATGAAGAAGCAGCAATTCAGAGAGGTCAGTGTCTCTCTCAGTTGTTCAGTAGTCTGGTTGCTCTGCAGGCTGGGTGTCAGCGTAATGCCGGGTCAACAGCCAATCCGCTGAAACAAACAACTAGAGGGAGAAAGGTCAATTCTGCCAAATTTATTGCCAAAATTGTACTGTTTTGACAGATTCTCTCTTGCCCTGTAATTCTCCAACACACCGTATTGAAAATGGAAGCAAAAAAAAAAAAGAAAAAAGCACTTTGATCTGCTACCACACCATTCTCAAAATCTGTGATCAAAGGGATATTAACTTCCCCCTACAGTCCTACACCACTACTCTATCTGCAGTTACAGTGCTCTATCAAATAACTTAGGTCCCATCAGTTTATCTGAAATTGAGCCACATCCTCTCACAAAGTGCTGTTCTGTTACGGTTAAACCGCCAAATACAGTCAACAAAGAAGCAAAAAAAAAAGAAATAAAGAAGAAAAAAAAACACCTCAAAGCAAGGACTGCGGAGGAAAGAGCGTTCAGAGGTAGAGAAATATGAACACAAGATCTAAAATGTCTCTCAGTCGGGGTACTCCGAGTTCAGAGGCGTCCTTGTTGTTGTATACAAACAGGTATTTTTTTAGACTAGTCAAAAGTCTCCAACATTTACAACATCTCTACGTGGGCAGAGCATTTACGTACACACCAGTTGTTTGTGTCACTTTTCTAACTTTTATACAGTTGGAGACATTCATCATGTACAGAAAGAAGCTGCTATTCCTTATTTCTCTTGTGGTTGTAATATAGTCAATATCTATATATTAAAAAGAGAAAAAACTCCTTCAGGTTGGATCTACGAACGTTTCCACTACAGTCCATTTTTTTAATGCTTGTAATTGTGTAAAGTGTATCGGAGCTGGTTTCGTTTCTGTGTTTGCGTAAAAAGGTACGACAATTTGCCTTGTGTTTTGAAACACCGGTAACTTCCCCCTCCCATCTGACTCGAGGACAGTGATGGTGCCAGTGTGTTTCTCTGGGGACACTTGGACATCTGTCCTCTAGGGTTTGGACTAGACCACCTCTACCCTTCGTTACGCTCAGAGGTCAGGCGTCCCAACTAAATCTCAGGTCAAAGAGAAAAGTTAAATCCTTTTCTTCTTTCCTTTTTTTTTTCTCCTTTTTTTTTTGTGCCGTCACACCCAGAGACATCCAGCCTGGTGTGTGTGTGTTAAACCTTTGTCTGATTCTACATCCCTCTGAATCTGTTATTGCATTTTTTTTTTTTTAAATCATTTTTTAGGAGTGGTTATTACAACAGTAGAAAACAAGAGGGACTTTTGGTCAGTTTTTGATTGGTCCTTGGACTTACTGTGTGGAGCCCCAACACTGACACAAAGTAGAAATCAGACAATTCAAAATACAACCGAATAGTTAAGCTGTGTTTCCATAGTTTAATTTCACAAAACAGTTTTAATATTCGCTTGAAGTGGGTTTGGACTTTTTTTGAAGATGAGTCAATAACCAAACAGAAGAGCCTATACCTCCACCTTCTGACAGCACTACGCAACCTAGTTTGGGAGGTTGCTTTAGCTTTAGCAGCTACTTAAAGCATTGCGTCGTATTCGCTTGACAGTTGTATGGAAACACGGCTGTAATATTGTTAGAAAACTATTAAAATGGAGCATAAAAACAGATATAAAACTCTTTGCATTTTCCCTCTTGAGTTGGTATTTTTAAAAAAGAAAAATATACAGCTTTATATATTTTTCTAAATATAATAAAACCTAATTTATTTTCTTCTTCTGTTACTTTTCCTTGCGCTATTTTATTATTATTTTTTATATCTTTGTTATCCTTTTTGGGAGGTCGTAGCTTCACATTTAGCCATGTATCTGCTCTCTATTTCCCTTCAACATTTGTTTGGTTTAGCTAGCCACTTAGCTGGCCTAAGCTAACCTTTGTCCTAATACGACACCAGCACATAATATTAATCATGGCTACTGCTGTCGCAACAGTTACAACATGTTACAAGCCAGAGTTAATACTCGTAACAGTAGCTACAGCAGTTTAGCCAGCAAGAAAATGCTAACAAGTTTTGTTAGCGAATACTAAAAAGTTATCCAACTAAAGATAATTAGAAAGTCTTATTTTGATTTGTTTATTGTGTTTAACATAACGATGTATTCTCATTCTATCCCTTAAAGAAGACACGAGTCATGCAAGATAAATATAATTAAAACATTGGGTTTATGATGTTCCAAGTTAGCATTAGCTACTGGTATGAACATTTATACACTGGCACATATAAATAATCATCTATAAACTGTGTATATGGTGAGCATAGTGTGTATTGGAAAGTACTGTTTAAAAATAAAAGTTAGCTGTGGATAGGCAGCAAACAGAAAGTAAAAATAAGTTTTAGTAATCATATTTTCAGGAAAATGTGCTAGCCAGGCCAATACTCGCAAATACTCCTGATGTTACGCTTATATATTAACCTTTTGTAAAATGGGAGAGGAAGTAGAGAGCAGATAAATGATTAAATGTGTGCTAAAACCAAACAAAATTAGGAAAATTACAAAGTAAAAAAATACAATTTAATTAAAAAAAATCTAGTTTAAGATAAACAAATGTATAAAGTTTACTTTTTATGCTCCATTTTGATATTTAGCTGACAGTACTATATACGTTCTGTTTTACTTTTGACTTTTCTATTTGTCTTTTACTACATTTTGTCAGTTTGAGGGCTCCATGTGTTTGTGCTGTGTAATAACACTTGGTTCAAAATACATACAAAGTAAATGCAAATTAGAATTGATTTAATGTAGCAGAGAGCCTTAACATCTTATTTTTCTGAAGGCGAGTACAAAAACCTGTCTGTAGGATAATTTCACTTTCTTCTAATCACCTTCTGTTTTGAATCCAGGATGGTTTTCTGTATGCTGCTGGAGTAACCCCTATTATTTATGGTTTTTCAACATATTAACGTGTGTTTGTAGAAGATTGCTTAAGTTAAATTGGGCTGGGATATAAGTGGAATTATCTTACAACATTGAGAGTTTTTATTTTAAAATGCATTAGGAACAATAAGATGTCATGACTGACACTAAAAGGATTAATAAGAGGAACAAATTTTGAGGGGCTGTTTTTTTTTTTTTTTTTCAAGAATACTAAATGTATACATTTGATCAGAGTACTAACTGTAACTGAAGATCCCTGCGTCCTTTATCAAGGTTTACTGAAGAAACACCTGGAATACATTGTTAAAGGCTCATTCACTTGGAGTGACGTTTGGATTCCCTGCCCAGGTGTTTCTCAGCTATTTATGTTCATGTATTTCTTTGTGAAGTGTAAATCACTGTACAAATCCCCCACAAGTTTTTTTTGTTTTTTTTCCCTTCTAATATTTTAATGTTCTTTTGCTCTTTTGGGGGAAGGTTTGTGTTATTATTCCTTCAACCATCCATCTACCTCACTTTATTTTTCTTTTTCAATTTATTTACATGTACAGAAAAACAAAAACATCTCATCTCTTTTGTCCGGCTGTAACGATGATCTCACTGAGTGCTGTTAACATGGTCAAATTCAAACCACAAACCAAACCATCCTGGAGACGAGAGGGTGGCACAGGAACATGATAATCACAGGGGGGGGAGGAAATGACTGAAGATTGCAATCAGCCATCTCGCCCTGTATTAGATTATTTCGTTGGTGAAGTTTGAGCCATACGAGTCTGATAATTTGGCTTTTTTTTTTTTTTCTTTCTTGGAGTGTGGCAGACTGGAGGGCTGGCTTATTGCTCAGATGCTCTGCTGTGGTGGTGGTGAGTAGGAGGAGCTGATGAGAACAATGAAGAAGGAGGACAGTGCGGTCCTTCTTTTCCCTCTCCCTCACCTCCTCCCTCTGTTCCTGTGTACTGCACATTCTAGGGTTATTACCTGGCCCGTAGGGGAATAAAAGCCCCCCTTTTTTTTATCCTTTCCCCCTCCACACTGACTCTCTAACCAGGTGGATACAGTAGTAGCGACTATATTCCTATCCAGATAGCTATAAAATGACATATTCATTTACTTGTTCTGTACAGTGCACACAAAATATAAACACTTTATTTTTTAAGGGAATTTAAAATACTGCAATGTAACATAATATAGAAATCTATACATAAATCATAAAACTTATAAATGTTGTTCCATGCTGTACAAATTAAGTATAGACATATGTCATTTCTGGCTGTGTTCTTTGTTTGGATTAGGAAAAAGTCCCAAAGTGGGTTTTTCAAAGACAAATAAATTGGAAGCTGAGCTCTGCCACTAGAATTTAATGGCAGTACATGTGAGGCACAAACTGGGTCTACCTGAAGGCCGGATCTGCACCTTAGATGCTACCAGCCAGGAAAAGGAAATGTGGTGTATAAATCCATACATGACCTGTCGCATTGTGGTTTTGATAATTGGCAGGACTGTGCTATCTCTAAGCAGAAAGCCTCCTGGTACACACACACACACAGACGCTGTTACTGTATCTTGTTTTAACACTTTATATACAGGACTGCAAGCTGACAGACAGCTTTTTTCCCCATTTTCACACTGAAAACTAGTTTAAATCTGTGACCCATCACTGCCTTTCTATACATTTCGAAGGCCATTATGGGCCTTCTGTCAGTCACATGAGGCTGCTAAAAAAGCTTTTTCAGGTGATCTCTGCTTCTAGTTGGAGACAGTTTACTGTGGTTAATTCTCAACTCAACACACCAACATTACATTTTTTTTTGTCAGTATGCGCTGCTTCAGGTATTCGGTGCACAGACATGTTGAAAAGTGAAGCCAGGTGGAGAACCAGGTGGTTTCATTTAACCGTTTGTTCAAAGTGGCCTCAGAGCTGGTTAATGATCTGTGCTCCACTGTTACTTCCTCTTCATGTGTTCGTTGACAGAATGCTCTTAAGAATTTTCTTTTCTTTTTTTTACTGCCATAACAGGACTTTGGCGTCGCTCGTTGTGCCTAGACCTGTTGCCATGGTGATCATCTTCCCAGTAAAAAGCTTCCTAACTGTTTTTGTGAGTCTTGTTTCTGTCTAACGTGGCAGGAATTTCTGCAATTTCAGGCTGGGTTCTGGTCTAGAGTCCTTTCACCCACACTGATCAGATTCGGAGGGGGGGCTCAGGATGGGTTTTTGGGTGTTTGTGGTCTGACTTTTGCCTCATTTTTACCACTGGAACACCTCACAGAGCCGACATAAAATCAAACAAACTTCTGTTTTTGTTTTTTTTTCCTTTTGTTACATTGACGGTCAATTTGTTACCTATATTTTGATGTGTGTAAATTATTCATAGCCTTCCGACTCTTGCGTTTCTATTGAAATGGTCTGTTAGACTGAGGTTTCATTTTGGTTTTTCTTTTGTACATGCTGATGTAAGATTTTTTCCTGTTATCAATATATTCTGAGTACTGGGAAAAATGATTGGCTGAAGGAAAAGAGAATGTCTGTTTCTCTGATTCTTTTTTTTCTACACGAGATTTAAGATGAATAAAAATGTATGCAAACTGTTTCATTGCTTGTGTTTGTTGGGAAGTGGGCATCGTTACATTTGAACTATTTCTAGTAAAACGGTGTAAAGGTCCAATAGACCTTTCATCTGGTCCTGTTTGTCATGGTATTATTTTACCAAAATGATTCTGATACATGTACATACAAGCAGCATTTTATTGTGATTTCTGTACTGAAATGTCTGGAAAAATAGCAGAGTGAAAGTAGCATGGAAATAAAAATACTCCAGTAAAGAGAATGAAACAGTCACTACTACAAAAAAAATGTTACCGTATATATGATGTAGTTCAACGATATACCGACGGGTGGCAGCAAAACACCTGCGTTCCCAAATCTGCCGTGAATGTGTCAAGAGAAGAAGAAGCTCGGCTACCTTTGACCGGAACGGGGCAGTGACGTCTTACGTTGGTTACGACAGGAGACTGTTAGCAGCTATTTACTTGCTAGTTTGCTTTATGAAACAAACATTTAGCATTAGGTGGGCCATGAGTATATCTGGGAGTAAACAAAGCAATAAAATGATCCTGCACAACTAAGGTAAATAAGAGTAGTTTTGTTATTATTGAACGTAATGTGCTAATATCATCCAATTAGCTAGCATGCTAATGGTGGAAAACAACACTGAAAGGCTAGTGCAATGCTAAGCTAACGAAAGTTTGTGAGCAGCATAGTGCCAGCTGCAGGCTGTGTTGTCTTTTCGTCGTGTATTGGTTCTGCAGCGTTCCCGCACTGTCACTATCAAAACCTTCGAATAACCTGTTGGTATAGGTGTTTTTTGTTTTTGTTTTTTCATTAGCAGAGATACCGATCGAAAAACATTTATCATCATTTTGAAGATGGTTTCGAGCTACTACCTCCTACAGCAATATTATCTGATAGTTAAACAAAAATAGAAATTAGAGTTAACATTCAAATTGGCACGGCACACACTTGTGCGACTTACTATTTGTAAACTATAAGAGCAAACACACACCTGTTCTGTGTGTTCCTGTGCACCATAAATTGTAGTCGTATATGCTGCAGTAATGCATGCTGTGTTATGCAGGTCTGTTGTAAAGACAAAATAAACAGTGCTGCTTCCTAATGCCTCTGTTCATCCGCTGTCATTTAGGAATCAGTAATGCCATAGAAGAAGGAGGAACTGCCAATCTCCTCCACCGGAGGAGAGGTTTTCCTAGAAATGGCAACTGAACTTCATGAGACCATATTTATGGCCAAGCAGGAGCGCCACAAAAACCTGTTTCTTAACTACAAGAACCTAAATATTTTCCCCGTAGAGCTGCTCAAAGATGAAGGCCTGCAGTTTCTGGAGAGACTGTACATGAAGAGAAACTCACTCACAACACTGGTATTTGTGCAATGCATGCTGATTGTACCATGTCAGATACTATCGTACTGTTTGTTTTCTGTGTATTTCTAAACCGAGCATGACCTAAGACATTTTTTATAATGTTAACTGGTTTGTCAGTTCTTCTAAATAGACTGTGGTCTATGCAATTTCACACGTTCATTTCCTGTGAGATGTCTGATTATTTCTGCTTTTCCTTTGTGTCTATCAGCCTGACAATCTTGCCCAGAAGCTCCCCAATCTAATTGAACTGTAAGTATTCTGCTAAGCTGTGTTTTTCTACAAATGATTTTTATTAATTTTAATTTGACAGCAATAAGTTTCCACATAGCCATTACACAATGCTTGTAGTTTTTGTGGCTATTATTGGCTGGTATATTAGAAAAGGCTCCTGGTGAAGTTTATCTCCAGATGCTGTGATGGTGAAAATGTGATATCTCAGTATTTGTATGCACAGAATTAAGCTCTGTCACACTTTATATATATATTATAGATATATTTGCATCAGCTAACACCAGACCTTCAGTGGCATTATTATTAATTAGCCAATGAGTTGTAAAAAAGGTTGGCCTGTTCTAAAACTAACATGTATTTTATTTACTCTATTTAAGGTATTTGCACTCTAACAACATAGTAATTATTCCTGAAGGTACGTCCTCTTTTGTGTCCTAATAATGTGCCACTGTTTATTAGAGGTTAGCTATGTATTTTTTTATCTGTTTGAACATAAAGAGAATGACTGGTTTGATCCCCAGCTATCGGAAACCTGGCCAGGCTACAGTCGTTGGACCTGAGCAATAATGCCCTCCAGCTCCTGTGTCCAGAGATCGGCCGATTGAGATCTCTACGGCACCTGAGACTGTCCAATAACCAGCTGAAATGCCTTCCTCCAGGTAAAACACAGTAACTATCTGTCTTGTTTTAATTATCCTTTAAGAGCCTCCAAGTTTGAAGTATTTTTCCAGTCCAATCATAAACACACGTTTAATAACTACAGTTAAAATGTAATACTGTTTCTTTAGTACCAGCCTTTAAGAACCAACACTGTCATACATTAGGACATCAAGACAAGAACCCACTTCTAAAGTGCATGGCTGCATCAAAACCTGAGTAAAGACCTAAGTTTAACTAAATACAGTTCTTACGAATAGAAAACTGAGGTAAAAAAGGAACATAAACACAGAGAGCACCATTGTGTGTAAGTTCGTTTTCCCTCACTTTAATAATCTCCACATGATAACAGCTCTAAACTTCATGCATGGCCTAAAGTCTCTTGTAACTTGTGCTTTTGACCGTCTCCTCTGGCATTGTTGCCAGCAGCTGTTAGTTTCAATTTGTGAAAATACTGACTGAATTGAGCTGTAAGAATTTTATTTGCCAGCAGAGGGCAGCAGAGCATCACAGCCAAAGTGAAAAGTACATCCCATCCATTCATCCATTCATTATCTATACGTCGCTTAATCCTCACTGGGGTTGCGGGCCTGGAGTCTGTCCCAGCTGACTCAGGGTGAAGGCAGGGGACACCCTGGACAGGTCACCAGTCTATCACAGGGCTACACTTAGAGACAGACAACCAAGCACACTCACATTCACACCTACAGACAATTTAGAATCACCAATTAACCTCAACATGTTTTTGGACTGTGGGAGGAAGCCGGAGAATCCGGAGAGACTGTGAAAAGTACAGTCGTCTTCAAATGTATTCATAGTCTCCCATTAAAGAAGGAAAAAAAACAGCTGTCACTGAAATAAGTTGAAATTGACAAAAGTACGAATAAATAAAAAATATAATGCAAATCATGACATTGCTTTTGAATTGTGGTTCAACAGAAATATGTTTTTTTTTAAAAAACAAAAAAAACAGAAAACAAGTATAATGGGACCTGTGAACTAATATGTTGTTGAACAACCCTTTAAGCCAATCATTGCAATCAAGTGTTTTCTGTAACTCTCAATCAGCCTTCTGCACCTGTTGACAGGTATTTTGATTTTGGCCCACTGCTCATCAGCAAAGTGCTCTAATTTGTCCAGGACAGTTTTGTTTGTTTTTTTGAATTATTCTTTTCAACCACACTTCAAAACCAGTGTCTTCGTTCACTAAATTATTATTTCAGTTTCTAGTTATTTAAGTGATTATTGTGAATGTTGCCTTTTCTTTAATGGCGGTATGGATGTATGGAGTATGAATACATTTGAGGATGACTGTATATTGTATACTGTATCTGTCAACAAGGCATACAGATTATGTAGGAAACCATATGAACTATAGCTATTATATTTAAAGTTAAAATCCAGATGATTTAGTTCTGTTTCATTTTATTCTGACAACTAACAAACACAATTATCGTCCAACCTCACTTTATGGTTTTAATGTTATATTTCAGTTTCAGCCTCAGTGAATTTTGAAAATAATTTGAGAAAGTTGCTGATATAGCAGCAGTATTTGTCATGTCCAGCAGCCATGTATGTCTTTGCCAACTGAGGGTCTGCATTGTCTTATTGGTAGTCATGGCACTTGATGTACCAGGAATGTTTCATACCTTAAACAGTTCTGTTTGCAACATTCAGAACCACTAGATGTCACTAGAGCACCAGAATCTCAGACCAAAACAAACTGGCATGTTGATCACACCTCCTCCCTGCCTTCATGTTTGTTTACAACAACAAACAAATAAATAATCCAGCCACAACAATTTGTCCACACTTACATAAATACACTGAATGGATTACGGCACTGGAAAGTCTAAATGAGCTGGAGCTAAATTTGGTAAAAACCACATGATATTTGCGCTATTTTGCCACTATATCTGGCAGACAGTTTGCTGCTATGTTTATATTCACAGTCCAGTATAGAGAACCTTTAAAGCCCAGTTAAGAAAAGTTGCAACAATCAGCAGTCTCCCCAGGTGACAGAATTTGCTTCTTTAGTGTGAGTCAGTGTTTGCCAAGTTGGAAAGATACAGATGACAAGAAGAAACTCACTGGTTCCAGGCTAAATGAAAGTTTCTTGGTTCTGGACTTTTTGGAAATGCCATGAAAACATAAAAAAAATAAAATAAATAAAAATTAAGAATGTAGTCAACCATGTGACAAAAATCTGTCAAGTGCAACAAAACNAGTTTAACTAAATACAGTTCTTGCGAATAGAAAACTGAGGTAAATAAGGGACATAAACACAGAGAGCACCATTGTGTGTAAGTTCGTTTTCCCTCACTTTAATAATCTCTACATGATAACAGCTCTAAACTTCATGCATGGCCTAAAGTCTCTTGTAACTTGTGCTTTTAATCGTTTCCTCTGGTATTGTTGCCAGCAACTGTTTGTTTCAATTTGTGAAAACACTGACTGAACTGAGCTGTAAGAATTTTATTTGCCAGCAGAGGGCAGCAGAGCATCACAGCCAAAGTGAAAAGTACATCCCATCCATCCAACCATCCATCCATCCATCCATCCATCCATCCATCCATCCATCCATCCATTATCTATACACCGCTTAATCCTCACTGGGGTCACAGGGCTGGAGTCTATCCCAGCTGACTCAGGGTGAAGGCAGAATTAAAAATTAAGAATGTAGTCAACCATGTGACAAAAATCTGTCAAGTGCAACAAAACATTTTGAATTACGCGCACCGATGCGCCTTACATTTCCATAGTCTGTATGTGAGTGTTCCATTGGTTTTTCCCATCTGCATTCTTCGTTAAACTGCAGCTTGACGGTTTTCTCCTCTGCCAGGTGTGAAGCTGCAAAGTTCCAAATAGTTTTTTGAAATGATAGACATGTGATTTAGAATGACCTGTTTCAGTTTCTCTTGTGCGTGTCTTGACTCCTGCAGAGATCGGTGACCTGCAGGACCTGGAGACTCTTGACGTGTCAATGAACCAGCTGATGTCTCTACCAGATCGGCTGCACCGCTGTCTCTCCCTACAGAATCTGACAGTGGACCACAACCTGCTGAGCCACGTTCCCCGACACCTCTGCTGGCTCCACCGCCTCAACCAGCTTTCCATGGCCGCCAACAGGCTGACATTTCTACCGCTCGGTCAGTATATATCCCTCATCTGTGAGTTGCCGTAGTGATGTAGATATGGCGAGCGAGGCAGTGGTAATATCTGTGTTTGTTTCAGATCTGGGCAGATCGCGGGAGCTGCAGTTTGTGTTTGTGGACAACAATGTGGACCTAAAAGGCCTCCCCTCCTACTTGTACAACAAGGTCATCGGCTGCAGCGGGTAATACATCTTCTCAAGCAGCTAACCAGATGTAGTTTAGGACAGGTGAAGGAAATGATCTGCTTTGACCAGTAAGGTACAAAGCAGTCTTTGCTAGAAAACCAAGAACTTAAATGCAGTTTTGTTATGTTGCTTATGTGATGAGCAACAAATGTAGGATGTGATTCTGCATCAAGGTGTGTCCAAGACAACATGAAAAATGTATTTTCTGTTTATTTAAGATTTATTTTCCTGTAGAAGAGGCGCTGGAGCAGGGAGCTTATTACATGGTGGTTTTTCTTTCATTTGTTACTGTCAGAAAGCACAGCGCAGAAGCCCTCAGGTTATAGGTTGTTCTTATTTTGGCTCCAGAAACTCACCACCCACCAGTGCAACTAATGTAAAAAGATGTTTTGAAGCCCTGGAACTGCAGTCATAGGACAATATCTGTGTTTGTGTGTGTTGCTCCTGTACAGGTGCGGTGTGTCATCTCAAACACTGGAGGGAGACCTGGGTGAAGTGCTGGGTGAGGCGCTGAGTGAGGCCCTGGTCAGGCTGCCGGCTGAAGTGAAGGTGGTGGCCTCGGAGACGGATAACATTGTTCCCCTGGAGGAGCTGGCTATGAGGACCCTGCACCGCATCTATCACAGCCGTCCAACAGGTGAGGAGATCCATCCATCCATCCCTATCTATACACCGCTTAATCCTCACTAGGGGGGGCTGGAGTCTATCCCAGCTGACTTAGGGTGAAGGCAGGGGACACCCTGGACAGGTCACCAGTCTATCACAGGGCTAGGTGAGGAGATGTCACTTACATTTTATTTTAAACTAGAAAGGTGGGTTGGTCAATTCTCTGAACCTCAAATCCCTTTAGCAGGTTTGAGAGGCATGTTATCTTTTATCACAGCTTAAATTTGTAAAAACAGTAAGAATTGCCATATTTTCAACTTTCCAGCAGTTCTTAAGTTGCCATTCCATCGACAAAACTATCCAAGTCTGAACTTAAAATCTTGATATTTCATCAAAATGTCTTTATTCTGCATTTCTTATTTATAAATTCCCCAAAAATATATTACTTACTCTAACCTGATTTTACAAAATAAATAAATAAATAAGTAACTCTGCACTTCTTAATGCAACCACAAATTATTGAGTCAGGTGCAGTCAAAAATCATGACAAAAAAATTGGAGACTTTTCGGCTGAACAAGTTTGGTAAGAAATTAAAAATCAAAGTAGTATGTAGAGTTCTCTATGTAAAGGTAACTCTACATGTCTATAGTATGCAGAGTTACCTGGTTCCATTTCTTGTCACTGTTGGCACTTGGAAAATGTTGTAAATGCTGATTCTTTATTTATTTATATTTTTTCCATTTTTGTAAATAAATTTCAACATTTTTTTCATTTGTTGCTAACATCACTTTGTCATACAGCACCAAAGAAATTTTTGAGCTCTTTCTATTTCTAGTCGGGGTTGTGCCGTTTCCATAGAGATGCAGGACTTTGTATTACAGTGAAAAATGAATCCACAGTGAGGAAAAATGACATAGGAGCAGAAAACAAACAGAAACTGCTCAGGGTTCAGAGGGTTAATAAGCAAATAAGTTAACCATTTAAGTGCATAGTTTTACATGTACTCGATGTCGTGTTGTCTTGTAGACCTCAGCTTGCTGCCCCCCATCACCCTCCCAAAGAGCCTCCTCGACCTGCTGCAGTTCCCACTGGGTCACTGTCACCGTTGCAGTCAAGCCATGTTCACCATCATCTACCCCAAACTCTTCCCCCTCCGTGACACCGCCCTGGCAGGAGTGCACCGCAGGTCAGAACAAACACACCTTGTCCTGCTCCTGCTTTCCAAGACCAACCATAACAAGTTCCTTCTATGCTAATGCATACAGCCAAACATGTACGCTCATATCCCTCTCACTGTTCTGCTCTTTCCTCCTCAGGACGACTGTGAGTTTTGTGGCCTACTGCTGCTCCAGTCACTGCCTCCGGACCTTTGACCTCCAGGGGTGACATCAACAGCTTCTCACTGTCCATCTCCACTCATGAGCTGTTGATTGGTTTCCAGAAGGCGGCAGGTAAAGTTCTGTCAGCTGGCAGTGAGCAGTGGATCTTTAAGGTCTGGGAGCGTCGATGCAGGAGCTCTGTGCTTGATGGCTATACAAAGGACCACACAGAAGCAGCCCGAGCGGATGTTCGGTAGGTCAGATGATGGACACACGGCTCGTTAGGAAACATTTCAACACTTCGGACAAAGACTCAAACCATACGTGATGTTCCAAAGCCCAGTTGACTGGGAGCATAATATTCTGTGTGTGGCGGGGGTCACCATAATGACTGTGTATGTGTGAACAGTGCACCACAGCTCATTCAGCTAGATCTGTCCAGAAACAACAGTATTAGAGCTATGCTAACTTCACACCCCCTACTAACAGACTGGCACTTTTAAGAAAAAAAACACTTTTTGATTTTGTGGAATGAGTAATTTTTTCACTGAAGTTTTTTGGAGCAGACATGTTCCCCATTGATTGTGAAGTCATTTTTGAGGTATTAACATTTATAGTATGGCTTGTTTTACTGATTATTAAAGAACATTTGAAGGGTTCTAATATAAAAGAATGTATCTGTTTGATATGTCTTATTTTCAGGAGTAGGTGTGGGTAGTTGTTACATTTATGCACCAACAGAAGCCAAACACTTATGTCTCGCATACAGTAAAAAATGGAAATGAAAAATCTACATTTGGGACAAGACACATGTAAACACACCACACTGCAAATTCATGCTTGTAGTTGTTTTGGGTTTGTAAAGTTAAAGCTCCACTCAGTGAAAAGAGCCAACAGGTTGTCAGAGTTTGGATTGTCAGTCATGTTGCAGGGTAAATTTTAAGTTGTGACTAATTCTGGAGCAGCATTTCATAAGTTAACATGTTAACAAGCTATGTGTCTTTTTGTCTTTACAAGCATTAAAATATTGCACTGTGTAAAAGTTTCATGAACCAAAAAGTCAAATTGTTCCAACTGCACTTGTTTAGAAATAGTGTCCACAAATGTTCTTAGTTTTTCTGTCATTGTCTGAAGAAAAAGAGTTTTGAACATTTCAGAGTCACTGTGATTCTCTTGTTGAACTGACGCTTGTGTGGTTTGATGTTTGTTACTATGATGTACAGTTCTAATTTATCTTTTGTTTTGATTGTATTGCATTTGGCAGTAAATGTTGACTGAAAAACGTCACGGTTGCATCAGCTGATTGAAAGTGGAAGTCTGCATGTAAAACACAGCAGTACAGAACACACAAGATTTTAATATCATAAACCTGAGCCTTCTACTAGATCATTCTTCTGTAGATCATAGTTACTGGTGGTTAATACTTATTGCAGATATGTTTTTAAAAAAAGTAAAGCTGTTATGTTACTCCGTTTAATAATTGCACATGAGCATTATCTGTATATGCAGCAAATAATCCTTCAGGTTTTCACGGATGCTCAACACAAATTTCAACCAAACCAATTTTCTGGGGGCCAAACTTCAACAATTCTGAACTGAAAACATATTTGGAACTTGAGGCAAAGTCCAATGAACTTCATCAAAGTTTTGTTTTTTTTTTCTAGAAAACTAGTGACATGAACTGGGATGTTTAGTTGAAATGACCCATTTCACAACAAAACTGTATAAATGTATATATTTTTATATAACAACATGTTCACCTCTTCTTCTGGCACTCAGTAGCCTGTAGTGTCAGTAGGTCAGGACAATAGAGCTTTTTGGTTCCTGTATTGTGGGGTCCAGTCCTACTAAACATCCTGCCAACAGGAAGGTCTTGTGCCAGACAAACCTGAGCCAACATTCCCAGAGGAAACAGTCTCTTTCTTAAATTCCTCTGAGGTGCTTCTGCAGTAAATTCCCAAGAAGTACTGTTGCGTCGCCTGACCTGCCTTTAATGTCTCTTATTTTGTTCATCATCCTCATCAGTTCCCTGAGATACAAAATGAGTCATCCACATAACAAAACAAGGGTGCATCTATTGCTGTACCATTTGAAAATAATGACTGATGGATGCGCAGCAGAAAGCCGAGCGTGTCCATTACCTAAATTGATGGCATGTCAGGACAAATGTGAGAGCTCACCTCCAAGTTCCTCCAGGAGCATTCAGCTTAGCAGTGAGCTGTTCTAAGATGAGACAAGGCTGCTGATCAGTACAGTAACTTGGTGCTGACGCTGTGCAGAACTTTTCCTGTGCTCTGTTTCCTGTCCGCTCTCTTCACAGACTGTCAGGATCTGTTGAAGATGTGTCCAGCTCTAAACACTGAGGAGTGGGTCACCCTGGAGAAGATGCAGCTCAGTGAACCTCTAAAACCTCACTCTTTGAGTGAGGTTTTAGAAAAATAAATCTTGTCTTCCATGACTTGAAAACAACATCAGTATTTTAACTTAACTTGAACTATAGAGCCAATTAGCTTAGCTTAGCACAAGACCTCTGGTTCTATTTAAATGTAACACATAGGCCTTGGGCAGGAGGAACATCCATCCATTTTCTATACACCGCTTAATCCTCACTAGGGTC